ACGGGAGTCAAACCTCACAGGTGTGAACAGTGCGGAAAAGAGTTCAGGACACCACAGAACTCCCCCCGCCACTTGCTGGTGCACACCGGAGAAAAACCCTATGAGTGCAGGGTGTGCAGCAGGAAGTTCAGGCAGTCCAACCAGCTCAAGTCTCACATGCAGATCCACACTGGCGTCAAGCTGTACTCCTGCAACCGCTGCAGCCAGGGCTTCTCTGACTCCCGACAGCTGAAGAAACACTACTGTGGAGACAATGGTCAGGGCGCACTTGATTCCTGCAACAAATGCAGGGAACAGAGGAATGACTTCCCCTGGACAGAAGAGATCACACAACAGTGATAAACTGAAAGGTTTATTTAACATAAGTATAGGCCATTTAAGATTTATGGGATCAATAAAAGATGCAGGAAACACGGAATGACTTCCTCTGGAGAGTTAACCAACCAATGATGGCATGAAATGTTTACTAAAGATAGTTAACAGTAATGTTCTGGTCCAGGTTTGCCTTCTGTTTATTTCTGAGGCCTCATGTTTGTGTTCACTATGAGGTCAGTGGTTAGCTAAGCATAAAGCCTGTTACCAGCTAGCCTGACTCTGTCCAAAGGTAACAAAACACACATTTAAAGATGAGTGGTTACCGTGCTTGATCGATTTGTTCAAAGTGAAGTCAAATGAGTAAAATCCATTGTTTGTGTTCCCACGGGATTAACCACTGAAATTATTTGTTTCCATCCACACTCATCTTTTCATCACACTCACAAAGACAGCATGTTGTACAATTCCGTTATCGGTCATTATTATTTTTTATATTAAAAAAATTAGAAAAAATTTTGACAGCAGAGATACAGAAAGTGAAAACAGGTTCTAACAGTATTGGCCATCTGTAGTCTTTAATAATTTGAAGCAACCAGCCTCCTGTTTTTCACCCTTTTTGAAGCCGATTCTGAGCTGCTTAGTGTAAACTGAGCTCAGCCAACACTGCAGGTTACAAAGCAGCTAGAACTTTGTCTTTTGGTGAAAAAGGTGTAAAAACTGAAAATGACTGACTAAATGGACTCTTTGACCTCCAGCACCTTGTTTCACTCAATCAGCAATAAACTGAAGTTTACTTGAATGAAGTTTGCTTAATCAAAAAAATCAAATTTTATTTGTATAGCGCCAAATCACAACAAAAGTCATCTCAGGACACTTTACAAAGTAAGGTCTAGACCTTACTGTTATCACTATTATTACAGAGGGAAACCCAACAAATCTCCCTTGAGCAGCACTTGGCGACAGCGGGAAGGGAAAAACTCCCTTTAACAGAAGGAAACCTCCGACAGACCCCGGCTCTTGGTGGGCGGCCTTCTGCCTCGACTGGTTGGGGTGAGTGGCTAGAGAAGAGACAAAAGAAGAAAAGCAACAAAACACAACAAACACTGATCAGGGGCCTATTTCAAGAAGGCGGTTTTGTCGAAACTCAGAGTTTGTTAACCCCGAAATGAGGGAAACTCGGAGTTTTCGGTTTCAGAAACAGAGGTAACTTAAACCCGTGAAAGCGGGGTAAGTTAAACCCGTTTCACAAAGAGAGGTAATCTAAACTCAGAGTCAGTTACTATGGCAA